ATCCCCATTTTTTAATAGTTTCTTGAATATGGCTCTTTGAAGACGAAAAAGCATAGATTTTCTTACAAAATGACTGATAACTAAAAAACTAATCCAAATTTTTGAAAAAGAAAAAAAATACTTCTTCATTATGTCAAAACACAATTATGTGTCGAGTTTCGAGCCTGGGCGAGGCTTCTGGGGCGATATATTGTGATTACAGACACACACACACAGCCGCTTTTATTATTATGTATAGATAAATATGAACAAATTTATTTTCATGTATTTCGACTAAAATAATAATTATGTATTTGCACATGCCACGTGCGAGACAAAATTTTGGAATTACTTTTTAACGAAATGACGTGTACTCACTTTGCAGTTCTTGAAAAGTAAATTCATCGGGAGCAGCATCTATTTCTTTACAGAGACGATCTTGAATGTCGGGATGCTTGATTAATAAATAGAATATGTATGTTAATGCTGCAGAAGTTGTTTCATAGGCCATAAGGGTTATCATATAGCAATTAGCTATGACTTCCTCTTCAGTCAATTTGGTGCTGCTTCCTCGGTCTGAAAAAAAAAGGAATTTCTTTCACAAGTATGGCAGTGAAATTGGTTAAATAGTTCCTGAGAAATCAAATTTTAAGAAAGTCATATACTTAAAATCGGTTTCTTAGAAACTTTTCAACCGATTTCGCTCATACTTAGTATTTTGCCTTGTAAAAATTAGATACGTTAAAATGATGTAAAAAATTTTACACCTTACAATTCAAATTATATTTACGATTATTAAATAAAATGATAAATATTTACTAAAATTTATATTTGCATGGAATTATCTGCGGATAAAACGAATTTTATAATTGTGTGAAAAAATAACTGTATATAAATTCTTAAGTATGGTGGAATACGCCAAAAATAAAATTAACATCAGGGGGTCCAAACTTGGGATCGCTCTCCTGACCAAACTATAAGGACTATATTTCCCAGATTGCAGCTACCTCCTATATTTTGGGGGTCGAAAATCTTAATCCGTCGAAAAATAGGTAAGTTTATTCAGTGAATGACAATGGTATTTCTGGTAGAAACAAAACCATAATTCTGGTAAATAAAACCCAATTATACGATATTTAAACCATTCGTTTAGTAATTTTTCCGTTCGTATGGTAACGGGTAGCCAGAAATTCTGGTTTTCAAAATTATAGTTCTTATTGCCACACTTTTAGAAAAAAATATAAAAACTGAAAAGTAAATTTAAGTGAATGAAAAGTTTTTATGATATAATCAAAAGTATCATTTTAAAAATACCTTGATTTATCTAATTTATTAAATTTTATCGCATATTATAAACATATTTTACTCTTAATTTTATCAAAATTAAATTTTATCAAAAGCGCTTCGGTAAATTTCACTGAGCTTTTTTGTGTTCCCATATAGCCAGAAACACGGTGAATTTTACAATAGGTTTGTGCCTCGGTATGGATTTTGAAAATTTTAAAATAAAAATTCGATAAAATATTGCTCAAAATTTTTTTCTTAGTGTCATTAGAATTTAAATAAAATAATTCTTTTATTATAAGTAAAAAAAAAAATTTTTTTTTTGTCCGTCAAAGCACACACTGTTAGGATTTTCATTCTTAAATTGTGGTGAAATAATCGGCAGCAGTCTGTTCAACCGATTCACAGTAAAGTTTATGGTGAAGAACAATGAAACTGTTTACAAGTAATATGGCTAAAAGACCGTGAATACAAAACTATACGGTATTGTTTAATCTATTTGCAATCAGCATGGTTTCGAAACCGTAAAAATGAAATTTAGCTGGATATTGGAGATAGTTAAGCAGCTTCATGGTGCTGCCATCTATGCGTGAATGAGAGTATTATATTCTAATAGTTTAGAATCACTAATTGGGGAGTACGGGACACTAGAAACTTTAAATGTGTTGAAGGTTATGTTGGAAATATTGTAGTGTCACCGCTGGGACTCTAACCCCAATCCTTTTTTTTTTTCTTTTTTTTTTAATTACGTCCATCATTTGCTCTCTTGAACATGAGAAGTCTTGCATTCCAATATAACAAAGAAATATCTCCAGGGGCGGAGAGCGTCTTGAAACTAGAAGAATTACGGGCCTCCTGGAGAGCAGTTTCATAGATGCCCGCCATTCATATGGGTCCTATTTGCACATAGAGTACAGTTAGGAGAGTCAGAAAGACCAACACGGTGCAAGTGCGCCTGTAAGCAATCGTGCCCCGTCAACAATCGGAAAGATGAAACACCGATAGCTCTAGGGAGATTTTTCGGAAGACAGGATGCCAGAAGGTTCTTCCAAGGTTTTCCAGAAACTTTCTCTCTGTTGGTAGAAACCCGGAGACCTCGAAGCTTTAGTTTCACAATTTGTTTAACATTTCTCAGATTTGTGGGTGACATAGGGGGCTCCAATAGAGATGCCTCTTTGGCTAGGTTATCAGCCTTTTTATTACCCCATAAGCCACAATGGCTAGGGATCCGTTGGAAAGTTATCCCCTTTCCACTAGACAGAAGAGCATTAATAATATTTTTACAATTGAATTCAATTGAACAGAACCCCAATTCTGTCAGTCATGACATTGACAAATCCATATTATATGTATCTTCAAGGAACTAGGTGGATTCATAAACGTATTAGGGTAAAATCAGTTAATAAACAGTTTTTCTTACAGTTAACAGTTTAAATATCATATTATGTATGGCCAACTGACTGTTTTGTTTCAATATGGTAAAATAACATTTAAATTAATTGTTATTTAACCATTTTTTTTATAGAAAATTCTAACAGTGCACGCACGCATTAAGAATTATCAAAGCAAACTATGAATATTTTTATTACATTTTATGAAAATATGTTTCAGATTTTTTACCTTTGTCACTCTCATTCACCATGAGCTGGACAAGTTCAAGACTTCTGAGATTTCTGTTCGTCCTCCTGGCAATGATCATGGCACTCAGGTTTTCCAGAATAGTCGTGTTCATTCGACTGTGTTCTGTTATGTGATTTGTTATGAAGGATCTAAGTGATGCAATGATCGGGAACATTATTCCGAACTCTGTCAATCGAGAATGGCTATTCCGCATGAATTCTCGAACCTGCAAAACAGAATTACCATCAGAGGAATCAGTTTTATTCATCACTGTTCATGTCCACTCAAATTATGAACCATTCTGTTTTTCCGATTTCGTCAGAACTGTCGTGAGGTGTTAAAACTACAAGACTGTATGTCAAGTATATATACCATATTAAATTTTTTTTAAAAGAAAGAATGCAACATTTTCACAATTTCTCTCAATTACAAAGGTTATGGCTTCGTAGAGTGAGTAAAAATATATACAAACCACCCTTAATTATTTTTGATCAAAGGAACGGATCTTTACGTTCTAAGACTAAATCTTAATGGTTCGAGGACGTGACTTCAAATAAGGTAATTAATTAGTGCAGATGATAATTTGAGTTACAAAATTCGACACAAAAACGTGATTTCTCTAAATAAACATACTTGTGTTGATGAAAATTTCTTCCAAAATAACAAAAATTAAAACTCATCGAGTTTGTAGAAAATACCAGTAATTGATATTTTCTATTCGACTGATTCGATCTACGGGTATATATTTTATTAATATAAGTGGATAGAAAATTTTTTGCTTACAATTTTGGCAAATATGTTAATAAATAGGTGCAATAAATACGTAATACCCGTAGAATTAGTATTATTATCTGCATCATTCTGATAAGGCATTTCTTAAAAATGGGCATGCTTTTCACAAAATGTTGACAAATTTGTTAATGAATACGTGCAATAAATACGTAAGGCCTGCAGAATTCGTATTATCTGTATCATTCTGGTGAGTCTTTGCTCAAAATCAGGTACTCTTTGCCTAAAATGTCGACAAATAGGTTGATAAATAGGTGCAATAAATACGTAATACCCGGAGAATTAGTATTATCTGTATCATTCTGATGAGGCATTTCTTAAAAGTAGGCATGCTTTTCACAAAATGTTGGCAAATTTGTTAATGAATACGCTCAATAAATACGCAAGACCTGCAGAATTATTACTATCTGTATCATTCTGGTGTGTCTTTGCTCAAAATCAGGTACTCTTTGCCTAAAATGTTGACAAATATGTTAATAAATAGGTGCAAAAAATACGTAAGACCTGTATAATTAGCATTATCTGTATCATTCTGATGAGTCTTTGCTCAAAATCGGACACTTTTTTCTCAAAATGTTGACAAATTTGCGCATAAATATGTGCAAGGAATACGTAAAGTTTGTAGTATTAGTATGATTTGTATCATACTGACAAGGCTACCTTTTGTTTTATAATTAGAAATTAAAACACAGATGCAAATATTGGTAGAATTTTATAGAATTTCAAAATACTCACGCGAAGTAGGAGGTTGTCTCCAGGGTGTACTTGACAGCGCGACTTCATTGTGAATGCGCAATCAGCAATTATTCCCAGAGTGAGTCGTTCGAAAAGGTCATGAATATCAAATATTTCATTATTTTCGTACTTTTCGATGATCAAATCGACAGCGATGGTAACCTAAAACGCAAAAATCATTAAAATAATTTTTAAATTGACAAAATATTATCCTGAAATACAAAAATTTAAAAATATCATTATCGTTTCTACAAAAAATGTTCATGGTAAATTTAGATATTAATTTTGAGAGAATTACCGAAATCTGTTTAAAAAAACAAATTTCAATGTTGCAAAAATTATATTATGTGAATGCGCGTAGCAAGAGTTTTCTCTTAACTACCAAAGCCTGTGTTGAACTTTAAATTTTAAGCTATCTTTATTCTTTATTTATTTTACTATAAAAATTTTAGTATCTTCTGTTAAAAATGGAATCAAGTACTGATTCAGGATATAAATTGTATTGAAAATATATACTTTTACAAATATTATACGCATATTGAATTTTTTAAAAATTTTTATAACTACTTATTAATTACTACAAGCCATAATATTTTATTAGAAACATTCAGTTTGTGTATTTAGTTTGTTAAAAAAAAGGTTGAAACCTAAATAAATTAAACAATATTCTAAAAGCTACGAAAATTATTAAAAATGCCATTTAGAAAGTTATGTGTGTTCATAATTTTTTGATACTCTCTAAAATATAATAAAAGAAGTCTGCATGTTTTTTGTTATAATTTTGAAAGTATATTTACCCTTTTATCGAAAAAAAGTTTCTTCAAATGAGTTTGAATCTTTTCCACACCCAAGATTGGATTCATAATATTTCTGACTTCGTTCCAACGCTCGTATTTCAGACCAATCAAAGTTTTGTTCATGGGTTTCATATCCTTGAACATGTATGGTCGACTGTGGAATGTTTGGAAATCATCAATCATCACCTGCATATTAAAGAGAAAAGTTTTATATCTTACAAAGGAATGTATATTACCACAACAATTCGTTAAGAGTCCTGGAGGTCAAGGCTCTGCAATTTTGTGACCAATGGTTGCAGTGTATTCATTATTACACGATGACCACCTTAACTTCTCAGATGATCTGTAACTAGGTGGATTTCAGGCCACAGCCAGGGATCGAACTTCGATCTTACACACTGATAACTCAGTGTCATAGCCATAAAGCTATCGAGGTTCTCTATATTTACATACATTATAGGTTCTAATAAACATTTCATTTACTGAACATATACAATATATATTATAGTATATATTATAGAACCTCCACCCTTCCTATTAAAGTTCAAAAAATTTTACCTATAATTAAATCATGGGAACTTATACTTTAGGTATAATAAGTCAATATTTAAGTGAGAGTAAAAAAATGTTATGAAGATCTGTAGACCTAAATCACGGTTAGTCACTACAAAGAAGGGATTAAAAGTACCTCAAAGTATTAAACTTAAAATAAGTTTCTAATACATTCTTACAATTTCGATTTCTTTCAATAAAAAGACTAATATGAATGATTTGAATTTTAGTTTTACAGTCTTTGAGTTGAAATAGAAATAGGCAAGAACATATATGCTATTAGAAAGCTTAACGCAGTATTCATTTCAATACTTTACACTTTTGTTATACTCATAAATCCATTTGCTACACGGTGAAAAAAATTCTAAAAATTACCGTTCTGTATGATAATGACATTTCTGGTTAAAAGTAATTATTATTATGGTATTAAAAACCAAAACATCCGGTATTTAAGTCATTCGTTTGGTAATATTTATGTATCGTAACGGTTTTCCGGAAATTCTATTTTCTAAAATTGTAATTCTTCACATTTTGTAAAAAAAATACGAAACTAGGAAGTAAATTCAACCGAATTTTAATGCCATGTTCTAAGGTAATATGATAAAATTACCAAATTTTATCACATATTATACAACGATATTTAATTGTTAATTTAACCAAATCAATACCATAGCGTTTTGGTAGAAAATACCGAGCTTTTTGGTGTTCTCATAGAGCCAGAAACGCGGTAAATGTTACCATATTCCTGTAGTTTTGACCATATGTAGTTTTGACCTTTATTCTCTTTGCACTGAAATCCTTATTAGTTTTTCCATTTGGTCAACTCACAAAGGAATTTGGGTTAGCTTTAAATACTAATTTACGAAATCAATGAAATTCTAATACATAATATAAAAGCTTCAAATATTTCCCAATAAATTTTATTTTCTAGTCAACTTATGATGTGTTTGGAAGGAATAGCATTCAATAGCACTTCGAGACGGATTTGACTCATTTCTGCGGTCAATGATAAGATGAACGAATGGTCAAGTTACAAAAATTTTTGAAACTTAAAAGGTAATAGAAAATTTAAATAATTACACTTACGTAGGTAATAGAAAACTTAAATAATTACACTCACGCAGGTAATAGAAAACTTAAATAATTACACTTACGTAGGCAATAGAAAACTTAAATAATTACACTTACGTAGGCAATAGAAATCTTAAACCATCATATGTTGATACACTTACTTGTTTTATCATATCCAGGTCTTTTACCACTATATATGGATCACCTCCCAGGTAATATCCAAAGACATTACCATATTCCTTTACCCAGTTGCTCATGGTTTTATGCGGGGTAGATTCTTTCCGAAGATGGTACATGTTGCCAGCGAAGAAATCTGGCGTTGGTCCCGGAATGTTGTAGCGCCTTAGCAAGCGATGCGTTCTGAATCTTTTCGAAAGCCATTGCAGCAAGATGATGGAGACGCAGCTCAGAATAACCAACAGAATTGTGTTTGTAGATTCCATCCTTCAGCTGAAATAATAAATAAAGTTAACAATGTAAAGACATTTCGTACTCTCACGTATCATCTTGCAGGCTCTCGTATGTAGATTCTGAGCAAGCTCTGCAGAGAAGAGCCGTGATGGTGAATAGACGGTTCGCCTTCCAATGAGGTGAACCGGGTTCGAATCCTAGCGATGGCTGGTCGATACGAATTCCGTATCCGGCTCGCACCGACTACAGTGCTGACGTAAAATATCCTCAGTGGAAGACGGATCATGGGTTTGAGTCCCCTTGCCGTCAGATTAACTATGGGAGGTTTTCGTGGTTCTCCAAGTAACGCGAATGAGGAGAAGTTTCCTCAAGGAGTCCTCCACGAAGGCAAATTTCTCTCAATACTTGATCCAGGAGTTCACTTGTCTTCTAAGCTGGTTTCAAAATTACAAGTCTTCGGCGTTGAGCATCAGCAGTCGTATATTCAAAAATTAGCTCGGCTGTTCAACGACAATTACAAAAAAAGAAAAAAAAGCTCTTCAGAGAACTGAAATTGTTAGCCTTGATCATAACTCATGTACAGTGTAAAAAAAATCGAATCACTTTGAATAATTTATGATCTAATGATCGGATTTTTACTTAATAGGACTCAATCTCATTGAGTAGAGGGGGTGACCTCAAATATGCTAATTAGTGTTGCAGACTATATTTTAAGTTACGAAATTAAATACGTCAGCGTACTTTCTCTGAGAAAACGTACCTATTTTGTGAACTGCTTAGGAAATATAGGGGGTTAAAAATAGGGGGAGCAGCCGCAACCTCGGAAATATCGTCTCAATAGCTAGGTTAGGAGGGCTGCCGAAAGTTTTGACCACTTAATGTTAATTTTACTTTTTGCTTATCTCGACATATCTCGAAATCTTTTTAAGTGAATTGGAAAAGGTTTGCACACAGTTTTTAAAATTCTGTTATAAAAAAGGGAAGNAAGGCAAATTTCTCCCAATACTTGATCCAGGAGTTCACTTGTCTTCTGAATTGGGTTCAAAATTACAAGTCTACGGCGTTGAGCATCAGCAGTCGTAGACTCAAGATTTGGCTCGGCTGTTCAACGACAATTACAAAGAAGGAAAAGAAAAAAAGAAAAAACAGCTCTTCAGGGAACCGAAGTTGTTAACCTTGATCATGACTCATGTATAGTGCAAAAAAACTGGAATCACTTTGAATAATTTATGGTCTAATAATCGGATTTTTGCCCAATAGGACTTAATCTCTTTCAGTAGAGGGAGTGACCTCAAATATGCTAATTAGTGTAGACGATATTTTAAATAGAGCAGCGTACTTTCTCTGAGTAAACGTACTTATTTTGAACGGATTAGGAAATATAGGGGGTTAAAAATAGAGGGAGGAGCCACAACCTGGGAAATATGGTCTCAATAGCCAGGTAGGAGGGCTGCCAAAAGCTTGGACCACTTAATGCTAATTTAACTTTTTGTTTATCTCGACACATCTCGAAATCTTTCTAAGTGAATTGGAAAAGGTTTGCACAAAATTTTTAAAATTCTGTTATAAAAAAGGGACAAAATATAAATATTTATCATTTTTTAGTCGTATAAACATTGAATTGAAATTTATAAAAAATTTTGGAATGAAATTTTATACGGTTTAGAATAAAATTTGGAAAAAATCGGCTTATTAGTCTCCAAGAAATAGAATTTTAAGTATCTCACTTTTTAAAAATTTGATTTCTCAACAACTTCTCGTGCTATTTTATTCAAATTTTGCATTTCGTCATTATAAAATTACATTCTTTAAAAATGATGTAAAAATTTGTTTACCGTAAATTCAAAAATTTTCGACTATTATTAAATAGAATAATAAAAAATGATAAATAATTATATAAATGATAAATAATCTGTGCATATCTGGATTACATATAGCGACTTAGTTATTATTCCAGTATATATAAAGCGCTCCCCACAATTATACTTCCCACAACTTGGGATACAATAACTGCTTTCTATAATATGAGTATAAATGGAATAGCATTGATTATAAATAATAAAATCTGGAAAAGACTATAACTCTCCATTGTTTCCGATCTGATATGAAAGAAAACCAACGAACCGTGACGTCTTTCTTTAATATAGAGAACTCTTAAAAAACTAATCATTTTAAATTTATTTTTTAGGCAGATTCATATGAGAACAGGACTTTCATTCAATTGCACATGAGAACTTTTACAGTACATAATTTAAGATGTTTTCATTTACAGTGATTGAAGATTTCAGAAACTGTATTGTTTAATTTAATGAAGCATTTATGCAGGGTATAATTTCTGGTAGTAGTTAAACGTTTGTTAAAATTTTTGAAAAACGGAAACTTCCGTTTATGAGATAATTGCAGTTTTGACAGTTAGAAAGCATATATTTAAGATTGCATAAACACTGTTTGCATTAAAAAATTTATATTGTTTGTAAACTACAGTTATTCGTTAAAATGGATGACAAAGTTATGAAGTTTGCTCTGCCATTGGTCCAAACAGCAGTCAATGGTTTTTACTAGTATGTGACTAGTGTCGCACTGAGACAAAGTCCTGTATAGTTGTAGACATCACTTCAAAGATATAACCCCTAACTTGCTATTTATTAAATGTTTTTTATATATTAATTGATTAAAAAACAAAAATTAATTAAAATTAATAAAGATAAGCAAGATATATTCTCATATGACTTACATATCTTTAATAAGATGTAAAAAATAAAGTTCGAGGACATCAGTTTAAAATGGGTAATAAAATTATGAAGTTCACAGTGGCAAACAGCTAAACTGCACCCAATTTTTTTTATGGGCATAACATTATGGGACTAGTGTCAAGCCAAAACAAATGCATAAGCAGTCGTAGATAACACTTTTGAGTCTCATAAAATAAATTGTTGGAATAAATGAGCATAATTCGATTTTTTGACAGCATACCTTTATTCATTGAATGATAGTAATCATCAATTAAATTTTAAGCAATTATTACAACTAGTAACTGTTAATTTGACTCTAATGAAATTTAGATATAAGAGACTACTACTAAAATAACAAATTGTGAAATAAAGAAATGAATCTCTAATTTTGACTCAAAATCAGCTAAAGGTTTTTGCATCAAGTTTAAAAAAATATATGATGAAAAATTATTGCGTAATTTCGACTACAATTTGGAAAAAAAACAATTCTAATAAGTTATGCAACATAAAACCTTAAGTTTTCAATTGTTATTTAAAGTCTTTTTATTTTGATATTACTATGAAGCATTAGGCTTTATTACTAATTACTCATTATAGAAGAAATTGACTGGAGGAAACGAGTTTAATATCAGATCATTATTTCTCAGATTCTCTCTTATAAAGTATTAAGGAACAAAAAAAAGATACTTTGAAAAGATAATGACTTAATTATATATAGAAAACAATGTTTGTTTACTGCTTTGAATTTAACGAAAATCCTTAGATTTTAGTTCTACAATCATGCTGTAAAACCGTAGAAATTAGGAAAATTAAATGCTTTATTTCTTAATGCTTAAATTATCAGTTTGTTACTTTTCCAAAAGAAGTGTTGATTTAAATTTTTTTTTGAAAATGTAATTTAATCCAATGTGAATCTTAAAACATTAAAAAATGGTTTTCCTACAGTTTCCAATTGAAAGTTTGTTTAAATTAAAAATAAACTCGCAAAATAAATACCTTCTTGTGTTTATTCCATTGAATGCCAAACTAGACGTCCCCGCGTCTTTATTGCCGATCTGGAACTGAGGATATGATTTAAACTAAAATTGTAAGAATATCAAGAACTTTCCTCGTTCTTTGTGGTTTATAGATTATACTAACAATACTATTGTTTCAAATTTTCTCAACTTTTATGACCTTCGCAATTATACTTTTCGGGTCGTGGGCTTTACATTGTTTCCTTCAACCTCATTATTCTAAATATTGCGTGAGAAATAAGCATAACACGCACAAAAAAATGTGTTTATTCAGTTTATTTAAACTAAATAAATTAATTTAGTTTAAATAATTTTAAATACATTTAAACTTTAAATAAGTATAGTATGCGCACTTTCTTAAAACAATCATGTAACTTATTTTTAAAAAATCGTAAAAACTATCAAAAAATTATGTTTATTTATTTTTAAATCTTGGATAAATCTGAGGTAAAAGAGGTAAGCTTAAGTATTATAATAGCCAATGATAATAAATAATTATATTAATGCGAAAAAATTCTGATTAATTATGTTTTTATTCTCAAAACAGATGATTAATATGGGATAGGAAATTATAATCATTAAAGCCAATAATATTACATGACAATATTAATTTTATGATTATATTAAATTTGTGGGGACTTTAATGTAAATAGAGAAAAAATTGACTGTGATTAAATAGCTGCTTCTGCTAAAACACCAGAGCAGGAAAAAAGTGTCTGTCTAGTATATAATCATAAATTACACCGTAAAAATTCCTGAGTAAATTACGGTACAAAATACTTGGCACTCAGGGTGCTGGTACTTTTTAGCGTAAAATTCATCTTTAACGGAACTTTTTAAGGAGCAAAAAAACTCTAATATACAGTTGTTATACATAGATATATACATATATAGTAATAAAATAACTGATCTCTGCTTTAAAATAAATATTAGTGTAAAAATTATAATAAAAAGATATTTTACGATAAACTGATTTACAGGGTGACTGTACTTTTTGCTGTGCAGGAAAAAATATGTGTATTATACTTACCAAAATACTGTCATATTTTTAGTCCAATGATACATAGTTTAAAATAGTAACTATCAGTTCACTTATCACGTTTAGACTTAATTATCACGATAAGATTCAGTTATCATGATGCATCCCAATATGAATTCTAGCAATTACAGTTTGTAATTTGCACTAATATTTTTTTTAAATTTAAAACAAGAAATAAATTCCGATGATTTTAAAAATCTGATGATATTAAGATCTTATACATTAGCCAGTTCTGGCAAGTTTTAATCTCTA